CCCCAAAACCCCAAAACCCCAAAACCCCTACTTGTGACATATATTGAAAAATAACTGGGAAATTTTATAAAAAATGAAACTAGTTAGTACTCAGAAAGGATTAGGAAGTATTTTCCTGATTGCTGTGTTGATCTCATCTACCTTTGCAGCAGTGAAGGAGGATCTGGTTACTGAAGATTTGCCAGGATGCGGTCATTACAACTTTGATTCTTACTCCGGATATATTCCTATCGATGATCATAACAAATTCCACTATGTTCTAGTCGAGAGTCAAAGCAACCCAGAAACAGACCCATTTATTATTTGGTTCACTGGAGGCCCAGGATGCTCAGGAATGCTTGCTTACTTCATGGAGAACGGACCATGTGTCTGGGATGGACTCGACACTGATCCTGAACCTCATCCAAATGAATACTCCTGGAACGCTAAAGCTAACGTTCTTTATGTCGATAACCCAGCTGGTGTTGGTTTCAACCTTGGATACAGAGGAGAGTACTTGAATGACAAAATTGCTGGAGAGCAAGAACTTAACTTCACACTTGCATTCTTTGAGAGATATCCAGAATTCTTGTCAAATGAACTTTATATCACCGGTGAAAGTTATGGAGGAATCTATGTCCCATACTTAGCTTATAACTTGCACAAAGGAAATCACACCACAAGAACTGGAGGAAATTTAAATCTTCAAGGAATTGCTGTAGGAAATGGTGTTACCGATTGGAAATATGACGGAACTCCAGCTTACGTTGAGATGTCATTTGCTCACGGACTTATCCCTCTAGATCTGCAGAGGAGAATTAAAGAATCAGGATGTTCCTTCATTGAAGAATCTGAGGAGGATATTCCATTCTCAAGAGAATGCCAGAGTCTCGGAAATGAATGGGCTTCTTATATCCAAAAAATTAACGTGTACGATGTATACAGAGAACCGAGAGATGGAGGACTCATGAGCGATAACTCTGTTGAGACCTTACTTAAGGGAGAAGAAGATAGAGTTGGATACACTCCATTCTTAAAACACTTCAAAAACCAGACACCCTTCACCATGCCTGTTCCACAATATATGGATAGAGATGATGTAAGGAGAGTTTTCCATGTTACCGAAAAGAAGGATGCCTTCCAAGCCTGTGTTAGGTTTAACTATGAAAGACTCCCAGAGGCTTCTATCTGGATCTACCCCACTCTTAAGGAGGCTGGATACAGAATTCTCAAGTATACAGGAGATACTGATGGAGCTGTCCCAACTTTAGGCACACTTGCCTGGATTGATGAACTAGGATGGGATCTTCAGGTAGACCATGAACCTTTCGTTAGAAATGGAAAAGTTGCCGGTTACTATACCAAGAGAGATGGCCTCGAGCTTGTTGTGTTCCATGGAGTTGGGCATCTCGTACCAATGTGGATGAGAGAAGAAAGTCAGGAGGTTCTCTATAAATGGATAAATGGACAAAGACCTTAGTTACCTATTCTCGTCTAAAACAACATCCAATTTTGATATTAGATAAGGGGTTTTGGGGTTTTGGGGTTTTGGGGTTTTGGGG